TCCACCGTCCAAATGCTGTCCCTCTTTCAAGGCCCAGCTTGCCATGGACCCTGCAGATGTATCACCTGGCCAAGCCAAGGACAGTCCCTCTCTAAAATCTGTGAGACATTCTGAGGTGCTAACCAGCACTGCCTTACCCATTCAGTTCACAAGGGTGAAGGATCTCTAGCTTCCCCTCTCTCTGTTTTTGTTTTGGTGGCTGGCCGGTAACAGGGATCGAACCCTGGACCTCAGTGTTACCAGCACCATTCTCCAACCAACTGAGCTGACAGGCCAGCCCCTCTCCCCCTTTTTGTTAATGCATCTGTGCACCCCTATCTTCAGCACCCAGCCTGCAGGGCTCTGCACATGAGTCTTCAAGCTCTTCCTAACTAAACATCAAATGTCAGTAGTAGATGGGGCTGTAAGCCATAGTTACTAGATTCCAGCAGCTAGAGAAGTGCTATGAATTTAAATTCTCACTTCCAAATGGTCTGTATGAGCACTACCGATTCTTTTAGTTCTTCCTCTGGTGGCAGCTTCACCTTCTGTACTAGTACCAACACCAGGACAGAGAAAAGGTTCAGCAACAGTAAGCTAACACTGACCACCTCTCCTGAGCCAGCAAAGCTGTGATGTGGCTTCCAAAGGTTTGTGCGTGGGCACGTTGGTACTCACCAGTCAGCAATGCATCCAGTTATTAGGTAGCCAAAGATTAATCCAACCAGTAAGGAGAACTTAGCGATATGGACCTTCCAGGCATTATCACACACAAGATCCCACTAGAGAGGGGCAAATAGAAAATAAATCAGACAGAAACATACACAGAGCTAATCGTACTCAATCATAGGGCAATACAATAACCTTGTAAGGATCATGACACTGCTGTCAAAGCCATGTTGAGTCTCTTCAATGATTTTGAAAATCCAACAAGAAATATAATCAGCCCACATAATGAAATGTAGTGTTTAAAGTCTGCAAGGGAATGATGCATGAAGTCTGGGGATGTGTGCTCCTCTGGTCCAACCACCACGGGAAACATAAACTGAGGGAGAGAGCAGCCGAGGAGACCAGGGTCCCCAACGACCAGCTCCCTCAGCCAGCAGAGCTGCTGCAGCGGCCCAGGAGATGGGAAGGTCCTGCCAACTTTCTGCTCTAGGTATCATAACGACAGGCGGAAATTAAAAGTAACTTTTGCATTTTCATCCCATAACACTCCCCAAACTTTGTAAGTCATCTTAAAAATAAAGATGGGAGTTAATAGTGAATGTTGAAACATGAACTTTAACTACGTCCTTATTTTTTCCTTGTGAATGTCTCTTACGTTCTCCTATCTTCTGCTGTAAAGCTATCTGTTCTACTTGGAGAGAAAGCCAATCAGCATTAGTAGATACAACATTCAGACTATATTTTACAATGAAGTTTTATTATTTAATGAGAAAAATAAAAACGATCCCTTGATTTTTCTTTTCTCCATTTGCAGAAGCAGGAGAGAAACTCACATGTGCTCCCCGAGTGATGTTGTTGTCCAAGTGTGGACAGAGCACTCACGTCCACATGCAGCTTCGAGCTGGCTCAGAGGGGCACTGACCCTGCCTGCACATGCTATGCAGGCTGCTGCACCCACACTGCTTCTCTGTGCCCCCCCATCTGTGGTCTGGGTGCCATGCTTCTGGGGGAAAGAAGTAGCTAAACTTCTAGCTCTGGGCTCTCAACTCCAGGTCAGTGGGGCGGGTGGGGGGAGCAGGTGGAGAAATGAACAAGTTGGGGATTTGGGAATGCCAGGATGAGAGGTGTTCTGCAAGCAAAGATGGGATTGGTGCGGTGGTGGTGGAAGACATTGGGCTGGGATCTGAGCTAAGATCTCTTAGATGTCTCCCCCGTCCGTCCATCTTGGGAGGGTAATGTGGAGGATCCTTAAAGGGCACTGTAAACTCAGGTAGTGCCCTGTGTCCAATCCTGGAAAGCCTCTTGGAACCCCGGAGGTCATAGCTGTGGGTCTCGGCTTCCACGGGATCTGGGAAAAGTCAGCTCTGTCTCATCGGGGCTGCAGAGTAAGGCACCTGGTCTAGACAAGGAGGATGCTGCCTGTCACGTCCTTCCCTCTTCTGCCCTGGACTCCTAGAGGGAGTGGGGGACACACTTGCTCACTGATGCCCCCAAAGCAGGTTCAACTTTCTGGCGACCTGGGGGAGTCACTTCCTCCTGTGCCCCATCTTCCAGAGTGATCTGCATGCCAGGCTTGGGAAGAAAGGGAACGAGGGAACGCATGCGCAGACCGCGCAAGGGGCTTGTCAGCAAGGGGTGGTTTGGGATTTGTGGTTGCTGGGGTCTATTCTTGTGTTTGGGGACTAGGGTACTGCTGGCTGCACAGACCTTTATTAAGAATTTGGATACAGGAGTTCTCTGGAGGGTGAATTTCCTTTTATGACTACTCCGGTAGTTCTCGAAAATGTGCTCCCCAGACCAGCAGCATCAGCATCACCTGCGAACTAGTTAGAAAAGCAAATTCTTGGGCCCCATCCCTGACCTGCTGAACGAGAGCTCCTGGAGGAAAACACAGCAATGCGGCCCAACAAGTCCACCGGCCGGCTCTGTCCTGCTCTTTTCCAGGCCATCTTGAAGACAGCAAAGGAGCTACCCTGTCCCAGGGTTGGGCTTCAACCAGCCCACTCCCAAGAGTTGCGTGGAACATGTCGAGACTCCTGGCTTCTATTTTGTACCACTAACTCAGGATTGTGGAGCCAGATGATGAGTTAAGAGGGCTTCTGGAAGCAAGCCTGGAAAACTAACATGCACACATCTGCTGTTTCTAGGAGAAAATGTATTTTTAACAATTAATACCTTTCAGTGTGCAACCTATGTCTAATTTCAGGAATGCAGGGTTTGCCTTAAACCATGAGTTATAGCATCATAACTAGTGGTATGTGCACATTCTGTTTTCCCAGCTGGGTCTGTACATTTGGGGAGGGAGGTGCTTACAACACCTGTAGCCTCACACCTCATACCTGCCTGTGCCTCCGCCTGGCACATTCCTGGCAAGTGAGGAGCCTGCCCTGCCCCTGGTTGGCTGTCCGGGAGGAGGGCTCAGCTGCTGTTGATGGCAGAAAATCACCTCTCTGGGTGTTAAACATTTTCATGTCTCCATCAAGAATTCTCATTGATGAATTTATTTGAGGTTAAATGATGCAAAGGAGTGCGCTATTAGATGGCCAAGAGACAAGAGAGTTTAATAAAAGTAGTTGAGGAAATTGCCAACACTGTTGTGAGCTCGGCCACCTGAACAACAATTACTAGACCTGTTCTTGGGCAGCCATGACCCAATTTAGTTGCTACCTATTAAGATATTCAGCGGTCACCTCAAGGCAACCCCCATCAATTAACAATGCTAGAGTGGAAAATTAACAGAGTAGAGGGAGACTGAGCCACTCACATGGCCGGTAAGGAAAGAAGTCTGGTTAGAAGTACCTGGGGTACCACAGTTCTTAGCTTGTGGGCAGCTACCCTAGGGAAGGAGCCAGGGATTCCAGGGCAGGGCAGGGCAGCTGCCTGATGCCTTAACCCTCCTGAGTGAGACACAAGAAGGCAGCATATCTGAATCAACAGCAAATCCACTCCCAGGCCCAGCAGGCTGGCCAAGATAAGGCTTACTTGCGCCTGGGGAGCCGCCTAGAACAACAACCTTGCCATCCTAAGGCCCACCCTGGAGGCACATTCCTTTCAGCTGGGTGGGGCGAGGCTCTGGGAATCCAGCTCCCTTGTTTGATCTCTGCTTCTGGTATTGACAGACATTGTATTATCTCCTCAAGTATTTAAGAAGTAGGAGGAAGCTTTAGAGATCACCTGGCTCTCAGAGACCTCACAGATTGTGCTACTATGGATAGGATACGGTAATTGGTCATTTCACTAAGCAAAGGCAAAGTGAATTTTTAAGATTTTAATGCTGTAAAAAGTGCAAAACTAGGACAACATAATGGGTTTTGGCTCTGACATTACCCTCGTCACTTCCCCGCCCCCATCAAATCAATCACCAGTTCCAGCAGATTCTGCCTTTCACACATGTCTCTCAGGCTCCGTGGCCACTAGGCAAAACATGGCTTATAGAGCCATGGAAGGACTCTCTCATCCCCTCCTGCTGGTGTGTTCGGTATGTGGGTGGAAGGCTAAAAACATTTCTGGACTCCCTGACAGTTAAGGTTTCAAATGTGATTTAGGTCCTGCCAATCAGGTGCACACCCCTAAATAAGTTTGTGTGCAATCTCCTAATTTCGCGGATGACTTGAATTAGGAAGACTGTAAGTGGGACACCCATTCACTGGTCACATCTGGAGCAACAGTTCTGGAGGTGGCTGAGGGGGTGTGATCTTGGAGCTGCTGTTTGAGACAGTGATGTCCTAATACCCCTGGGCAGGCTGGTTGTAGGGAACCATGCTAGGAATCGGAGGCCCAATTTACAGCTACTCCAGCAACTCAGGAAGCCTGATTTCCCTGTTACTCAGTCCTATCTCTGAAACACCCAGAGTGGTTTCTGTTATTTGCAAATCGAACCCCTTTCCCTGATTAAATTTCTTGGGATGGAGTGAACCCAGTGACCATCCGCTCTCTCCTAAACAGATACAAGAGTCTCCACGCCTTAACTCCAGCCTTCCAGCAAATTCATTCCCTGGAGAACAATGAAGACAATCCTCTAATGAAGCATGTTAACACTTTATCAGCAGGTTTAATGAGATTGTTAAAGTCAGGGCCCCATTTCATAATCTTAGGCTTGCTTTCACGGCCATTGTTCCAAGACTAGGGACATTCTATGGTGACGCCAGAGGAAGCTGAAAAATGACTGAGCAGCATGTCTACACTTTGCACCCTGCATGTCATTGCTACATGTTCTGCTAAAAAACAAAAAACAAACAACACAGAAGTTACAGAACACCTGGCAGTTTAGGCTTGCTTTCACGGCCATTGTTCCAAGACCAGGGACATTCTATGGTGACGCCAGAGGAAGCTGAAAAATGACTGAGCAGCATGTCTACACTTTGTACCCTGCATGTCACTGCTACATGTTCTGCTAAAAAACAAAAAACAAACAACACAGAAGTTACAGAACACCTGGCAGGCTGTTTTTGTACTTATATGTTATAAGAATAAGCTAAAAAAATACAATGCACATTATTTTAGAAGGAATAATAGACTTGCTTGACTTGCCAGAGAGAAGACATATTCATAAAAGAAACTAATGAAATTTCTGAAGAAGAAGGAAAACAAATGGGCGATAAAGAAAACAATCTTATTTTCAACAGTAATGAATTCTATGTTAAAATAAAATGTAAGAAAGAGTATAAAAAATTTGGAAGAAAATAGATTACTTATCTGATTCTGAGTTGGAGAAAGAATCTCTAAGGACAAAAACTAAGGGGGAAAAAGTTACCTAACGAAAGGACTGAGATTTTATAAGTTTAACTGTTACTATTTTATTATTAATTTTAATTATTATTTTAAACTGCTATGCATCAAAAATACCATAAACAAAATTATAAAGACTTAAATTTGTAAAATATATCCACAGGGTTAATACCCTACATATCATCATAGACTAGTGCTCCACCAGACAACTGACAAAATATGAAACGCAAATGGTTAAAAAAACACTTAGGAAATGTTTGATTCTATTAATAAAAAATCAAAACAATATTTGGGTTTTTTTAATTTTTTAGAAATTTTCTAAAGTTGCAGGAGAAACAAAGAGGTACAAATTTGTACAAGGATCATAAACTAGGCACCATTTTCT